CAAGCCTACAACTTCTGGTCACAAAGGTACTACTATACATATGCACAATGAAAAGACTACAAAAACCTACTTTGTCGTTACTACTACTGTCAAAATAAATAATACAATCTTAAAAAAGGTATTACAAAGCCAGAAACATAAAAGGAACGAAGCACATATTAGAATTCTATATACATTAAGTAAACTGGTGACAATGGTTTATCTAACACTGATTGTTGTAGAACGGGGGGGTAGGTTTATAAAAATGAATAAAAACAAGATAAAAAAAAACAACAAACAACCCAGCACGACGTAACGGCACTAAATATCCACTTAAAAAAACACAACCCAGAACAATAGACTAATTATATTACATACAAAAAGACTCTCACAACCAACCAGTCTCTACACAACATCCAGATCCAGTATTTTCCACAAATATGTTTAGGACAATATTACCTCCCTCTAGTTCTCTGATCTAGAATTACCTCCCTCAAGGACCTTGTATTATAATATATGTCTTCCTGCAGTCCAATCCTGTAGTAACAACTTGTCACTGCAACCATGTCCGCTTTGCCACACTGCTTCATGACACTGTCTTACAAACAGAAATTAAGACTTCTTCACCTTTTAATGCATAGACGACTTTACAACAAAAATGTTGATCTTTAAAGTTGAGACAACAAGCCAGATGAATGTCAACAAACAAAGAAAAGCCAACACTCTGTATATCCCTCTCTAAGTGAACTAAATATAATTGTGTCTCACCAACCCTAATGAGAGAAAACATTGAGGAACTGACTTATAAAGCAGTATACTGCAAACTACTTTTTCTTGTCTATTGACATTCTTCTAGTAGTTTCCAGCACAGAGCATCCTATTATGCTAACTTTTCTGAAAGTGAATAACCAACTTTTGTTAAACATTTCAAAGTTATGTTTTGTATGAAATATTAGACTCATACAAATAAAAGGGAGAATATAGTAGATAACATTTCATTCGCTTTAACTTCAATGTGGACTTGACCTACAACACAGTTGCCAGTCACACACATGCAGTGTGATAGACACTAACCAACGTAAACCTTGCAGCACAGTTACACAAACTATACTTAATTGAAAAAAATATAAACATTGTGCAAGTCTTGGATAATTCAAATATTATGGGAGGGTATGAAATAATATCACGATTTTTCAAAATAAGAAGAAGAAAAGAAAAAAAAATGTGAATCTGCAATTCAAAACACAAGCATCATCATTTGCCTGTTTTTCTACGATGAACTAGACACAGAGACCCTTTTCTCTTGAACACTTGGAAACAGAAGACACGCCGTGATCTGTCAAAATCTTTCTTATACAGAATGGCATTAATGAGAATCATTTCTATCTTTACCGGCACTCAGATCTGAAACTACGGGACACAAAATCTACAAAAAGAAATTTAAGCCAAAAAGATAATGTTTAAAAAAGACCCACTGAACATACGCCTGGTACAAAACAAAACGAAAATTAAGTTCAAATTAGGACAGTGTTTTTGTTAACTTATTCAGTTCGTAAGTCCCACTGGGACTGGCAAAAAATGTTTGAAAAGGTTACAAAGCAAAATCAGACCACAAGGTTAAATCTCAGCAACACTACCACATCAAAACACTAGTAGTAGCAGTCATTTGTGAGGCAGCGAGGTGAAATCAGGCAATCGTCAAAATACAGAAATCGGAGAAACAGGCACTTTTTCGAAAGCTTGGAAATTTTTACCAAATTTTTTTCTTTTGGGCTCAACCTCTGTTATGTCCATATAAAGCACATTTCCATGTAAATTTTACTGAAAAACATTGATTATAAAAGGTACAAAATGTCTTTTTCTGTTTTCAAGGACTCTTTAGCTATTGGAGTTACCAAACTCTGGCAGCCATTTTCTCATTAATTTCACCAGTGAAACCAGGCGACCTCCCTTCCTTCAATTGCTAATATCTTAAATTTGATTCAAGATAGATGGATATTTATTTCATTGAAAGCAAGGCAAATAAATCAGTGTTCAGAGATGCCAATAACTCCACATGCACAAAAATTGACGAGCGCCTGATTCCACCGCGATGTGACACATTTGTTAATCTTGAGCCGTCACTGCCAACACAACACAACGCAAAGGAGTAAACAACCGAAGGGAATCACAAAAATCCAATAAAACTTCTGAACACAACACAAAAAAACTTGAACGCTTCAAACCTAAACATGACTGTGAAGACAGGGTGCATATTTTGTACTTTTAATGATGCCATGAAAACATCCTGAGCAAATGCTGCACATTTTTGTTGTTGTATATCATTAGGTAATTTAACAAGTTGTAATCAATTCAATTAAATACAAATGTGAGCAGCTTGGGCAAAGCTCAAGAAACAGTCCATTAAACAACAACTGCTTTTGTAATGCGTTTGACTTTTAGGTAAAGACACGCATATCCACACAAAAAACAGCAATCTAGAACAAGGAAAAAGTACAATTGATTCATAGGTACAAAAAGAGGGAATGAAAAGATGAAGATCTACAAGAGACACCCCCCCCCCTCCCTCCTTCAGCTTTTGCAATGCTGCTCTTTAAAAACTTGACAGACCAGAAAAAAAATTATCAAATGACATGACAATAAAAACATTTTAGAATTGAAAAACTGCACCAAAATTATGTAAAAGTATATGTTCAAGAAGAAGATGAGAACAAAACAAAGAACCTTCAGATATTCAAAATAAGCATAAATATTTCTCTTGTGGTACTGGCAAGCCCAGAAAACGTAATTTTTTGTCATTTTCAGGTAACAACAAATCAGACATCAGAATCACTCATACTTTCTGAGCACCCTTTTACTCTTTCATGGCTCTGGTCTTTGTGTACGTTGTAACATATTTGATGTAGTCCCCCACCATTTTGGTGCCAATGTAAAAAATGCTGACTTTGTATTATATTATATATACACATGGGCAGTGAAAGTGCAAGATATGCTAAATGGTAGTGTTGAAAGCGATATTTAGATTAATCAGAAACCCACTGGAGGGGAACAGAAGAAACAAACACTATGAAAAACGCCATGCTTTATAAAACAAAACCAAAATGGCTGATGTCTTAGATACTTCTCTTCACCTTCCAAAATTTCAATTTGTAAAAAGTAAGCCCCTTTCTTTCCTACTCATGTAGTTTAGTTTCAGTACGAGTTATACAGAACTTGCAACAAAATTAGGGAATATAGGTGCCGAAGATAAGAGGTGTTACTAGAGAGTAACAAAATGAGGAGACATAAGGATGAGAGATGCTTGATAGGAAAGAAAGAGCAAACTGAGCCCCCACCAACCGCCCACTTCTCAATGTTCATCAACAAATGAATGTCACACTTGTAAACACTAGTTGTGAAGGTTGAGAGGAGAAACCTATGTTACAATGGAGGAACAGAAACTATGCTACGCGTTTAAAAACAAAAAAACCCAAAAAAATTAAATGAAATCATTTTTCATCACTTAATTATTTACAAACTATGTACAATATGTTAAGGTTTTGTTTACTATGAGAATGCATTTCACTTTACATAAAATATTTTGATAATAATAATAATATATAAAGAGTAATTTGTATCTTCTTTGTTCTCTCCACTCAGTCTAGGAAACAAAAGCATGGCAACCAAATCATCTGGATGTGGTAATGTACGAAGCGGGAATGCAAAGCTGAACAAAGATACTGTCGGCGCAAAAAGGCATTGGTGTCAACAACAAGAACAGCGGCCAAACTCACACCTGACACCAGTGACACCACAGCAAAAAGGAAAAGGGACTCGCAGTGCCAACGGTGGCCAAGACATCGCTAAAACTAGCCCAACTGAAAGCAGTTCTCACTATATTGTTAGCGACGGAAAGCAGTTCTCTCTACATTGTTCGCGACTAAACCTAAAGGACATTATAATCAAATCTGAGGAAACTGTGTTATATGTAGTTAATGAGAGTGGGTAGTGCTGTCTACATCAATATAAAACAGTCCACTCAGAGTAATAATATTCACTATATTGTTAGTGACTGAACCTAAACAACTTTCAACAAATCTCATAAAGCAGTATGCATGCAGTGCATGCAAGTGCACAGTGCTGTCTACAAAAATACGAAAGTTCCACACACTGCCATGCATAGCATCAAAATGATGTGTGTGCTTTTGTATAAGGTGAAGGAAGCTATCTTGATACGCACACCGCATGCACTGGCCCATTTTCCTTTCTGCATGATTAACTAAAGCGTGAGGCAACAACGAAATGACGAGTAATGAGCACTATTGAGGGTGAGTGGGGGCTTGGAAAATAAGTTAGTCCAGATCGTAGAAGCAGTGCCTAGGCTGAGCTTTCAAGCTTTCACTGAAAGACTTGAAATAACCCATCTACACCAGCAGGTTCTGTATGAGAGAAATTTTCTCTCTGATGAAAAATACTTCTTTGATTTGATTTTTGACAGCAGGTAATCAAGAATCGCAATCCTCTGTGAACCACTACAGTATGCACAGATGTCAGTAATCACAGATGAAAAACTCATTGTGAAAAACATTTAATTCTATCATTGAGAACCGTGATATTACAGAGAAAAAGGTTTCACTTCTTTGTACCCAAAGAGTTCTCCCAGTGCTGCATATATTACTTTTGTTATCTCACACTAACCCTTTTTAAAATTGGAAAAGTGAGAGTAGACAGTTGTCTCGATGCAGTTGCGAGCGCCGGAGAACACTAACCAAAAAAAAAAAGAAGGGGGACTTCATGCATCTGACAACTGCGACATCCTGAAACCACTCTCATCATCTCTCAACTTAGGGCAAGGGTGAAAAGCTGTACATAATGGACTGAACCATCACCACTGGGTTAATATCTTTGTACACACTGTACAGTGTCATTATATGGACAGGGGCCACTGAACGCAGAGAAATGTCACATGCACAATTGATCTTATGGAACACTGAATAGATGACGAGGAGTAGGAAAATAACTTTTGGCAAGGAAACGAGGAGCAACAGAGTAAAAATATAATGTACAAATTTCATCTGAACAAAACTGGTGAACATTTCATTAAAAACAGAATCAAAACAAAACAATGTAAAATTATAAACAGAAAAATTAAGATCTTTTCCACAACATTGAGGTTCTTGACCGACCCCTCCTATCCTTTAAAAAAAAAAACAACCCCAAAAAAAACAAAAAATCTCAAAATACTGACCTATACTGGTTTTCCATTCTACAGACACAAACAATTATTAGAGTTTCCACATGACTCAGCACCAAAAATTCCACTTGATAAGGGCAACATCAATGCCGTGACTTTTGAAGCAACAGCATGACAATATTGTGTTCTTCCTTTATCATTCTGTGCCAACTACTGTCTGAGAACAGCGAGTTAAGATTTTCATCTGGAGATGAATAAATACTTTTTTTTTTAGATGAATTTCATTACATCTAAGCAATAAATTCAAATGTCTTTAACAAAAATAGTTAATTTACCCCCCCCCCTCCCACCAGCTCAAAAGTCTCTCCCTCCAACATAGTTTTGGTACATGCCAACATGCCTAGGCCAAATCTCTAATTGCTCACACACAACACTTTATAGTAAATAAACGGTGTCACAACCAACAGATACAGTAGTAGATGTACTTCACAGAGGAAAGTTATATATTGTAGCTATTCTTGCCATAAATAAATAAACCTTGAAAAAAAAAAATCTATACAACCACTAGTTATTGGTATTTACATACCCCAGCATACATGACAATAAATCATGCTATTTTTTGGTGAAAACCAAACAAAAAAACAGGTTAAAATTAACACTTGCAGAAGCCTTGAAATCTTGATAAAAAAAAGTAACATACATTTAGGTGTACACACTAACCACCGACACCTCTTTTTAGAAAAGGGTGGGTTTTATTTATATCAATTTCATACCATCAATGCCAAAATTAGCCTGGTCGATCTCTTTTTCAATTGTTTGGTTACTCCCCTCTACCTTTGAGTTTGACAATCTTCAGTTTATCATTTATTTTCTGCAGAGAAGAACTTTGCATAATCTGTGCCCAGTTGGCATTCACCAAGACATTTAGACCAGTCTACAAAATAAAGTGAAAGAAAAATAACTTGGCAACAAAGTGAAGCCGCTGTGTGGTGTGGTGATGATCTTTCGGAGAGTAAAACAAAACTCATCAGTTGGATGATCTCCATGACCAGTGGAACCAGAGCATCTGCATCTATGCCTCAGAATTTACGGTCCACACAGTGTATCAAGACTGAAAAAGCAGGAGTGCTACAGACTTACTTTCTGGCAATTTCTACAAATAAGCATCCAAGCTCACACAAACACGTACAGAGGTTTCACTGGCTTGCGATGCCGAAAGTTACATATAAAATGATTACTTGGCCTACTCACTGTGCACAGTCATTACATTATTGTATATAAAAGTAAACTAACATACACAGGGCTTCCTTGCTAACTGCGACACAATAATCAATAATGATTACGAAAACAACACACGCCCCTTCAGGAATAAGTACATATACTGAGCATTGGTATCAACCTCCACGTTGTAGTAAAATCTACTGCATCTTTGCAATTAAGACGAAATGACCAAAATCACAGCGTGTGCGTGCTTGCTCGTACGTGTGTCGATGCAGCAGTCCTCGTCTGATGGAAGTCTCAAGAGGAGATAAGACATCAGAGACACACGCACGTCCCAGTCGGTGGATCTTTCACACACACAAACCACCACTAGCCACAAATGCTTCACCTTTGTGTATCCAATAAACAAAGGAGTCTGAAGTGTGCATAATCAAGCCTCAGTTATACGACTGGGCGCCACTTTTGTTGAGAGTAAGATGTGCGAAACTTCCTCTTCTATATTCCAAAATAATGGGGTAACATAATGCCAAAACAGCGAACTATGAACTGTGATGTCAGTCGTACCAGAACACAAAGTTTGTAACATTGCGCTGTCTTGAATTCTACGACAGCGAGGCACAAAACAGGGGTTCCCTGTTATCACTCATTCTTTTTAATTTCAGTACGAGGTCTTGCTTGAGAAGGAAGTCCTCATCAGGTGGCAAAGATGCAAATGGTAGTGTGTGACTGAAGCTTTGAAACGATTGTGCTTTGCGGGCCTATATACTCAGCACAACAACTTTACTCAACAGCAGTGAACAATTCGGGGCAGAGCACGGATAGTTCTTACCCACCCTGTATAATCCACCCTAACCTGCCCTGCCCGTAAAGTCTGAAATGGCGGTAGGCGTCAAGTCTTCAGTTAACACAAGTCTGCCTCAGTGCTGTATGGGCGGTGATCCTGTCAGTCAGTGTGCATGTGTCGAGTCCGTGGTGAGCAACATTTTGTGTGCGTTTACAACATCTAGCACGGACTGTGCCGCGTGGTTCTCATGAGGGACACAAGGCAGGATGGTGGGCCTGCCTCACGCAGGAATGGGTGCTGCATCAGCTCAGCTGCCGTCGCTCGCTGGGCGTGGTCCCGCACCAGCATTCGGTCAAGGAAGCCTTGTAATCTTGGAGATACCTGACCACAAAAAGCAACACATGTAAGTTGTTTGGGTTTTTTTTGTTGTTGCGAACAATGAAGGAGAGAAATATAAAATATCGAACAAACAAGTGGAGCACTTTGGTAGGTTTTTTTTTATGGCACTTGCAACAAAATTAGGTCATATAAGTGCCGAAGATTAGAGGTGTTACAAGAGAGTAACAAACATAAAATATGAGGAAAGATAAGGAGGACAGATGTTTGTTAGTAAAGAAGGAGCAAACCACACCAGAGCACCCGCCAATGACCCACATTTTCCAAGCAACTATAAAGGCAATAACTTCTATAAATATAAGTACAGAAACATGACATTACAAGGCAACAGACTTGAACTTCTGGTTCAACTCCTTGACTGTTCTGCAAACACACCTTGTATATTTCAGTAATTCGAGGCCCAGAGCTCTGTAAACGTATCTCATACACACAGCAGCTAAAACCTATGTTTCGTTTCGTTGATATCTCAGCTACTACTAAGTTTGGAATAAATGACAAGTCAAGATGATGGACATTGGCTAAATAGCCCCCCTCCAAACCTTCAGAAATTAATTTTTTCTAACATTCAATAAATTCATGCTCAATAATTAACTATAGTAGGGAACACAACTACAATAAACTTATTGACTTCATTTTCATTACTATTCACAAATCTTGTCTTGAGCATTCACTTTTCATAAGCACTGTCAAATCCCCGCAGAGCAATACTAGAAAACAGAATACACATTTTTTCTGACAAAAAAACGGACCTCAGTTCTCCGATCACCTGAAAAAACCCATATTAAATACCTTTTTCGCACACTGGTTGGCAGCTATGACTATGAGCACCAATTAACACATTACACTCTTAGGGCCTGGATGGGAAGTCCATTGTTAGATCCTAAGCAAGGGGAAGGAAGGAATCCACCTCCCGTGAATACAAGCCTTTGAAAAAACACATTTTAAAAATACAAAACAAATTCCACAAATTCTGAAAAAAATAAAAAGTTAAAACGAATAATGAATGTAGTTTCAGAAAAATATAACTTTATGTATGCCACACTGTTGGAAATGTTCTAACTTAAGTTCAATCGGGGTGTCCGACCCGTCACTCTCAGCCTCGCGGCCGGGCCCTAGATCTAAATTCTAGATTTTCTACGTCTGATCAATCTCAACAAACTCTTGCTACAACATTTTCATCAAAATCTAAGTCATCTGATTTGTCATATGCTTGTTTTTGTTCAAATCCATCGTTATTTCCTTTTTCTAACTCAATTGTGTTGCTTTTCAACAAGTCGAGACACCTACGAAGTCTCGGTAACGCGATCGCACTTCTATCGGCTCTACTAATACTAAAACTACTGGCCCGAAAAATTTCATTTCGGAACCAAACGAAAGAAGAAACGTTTTGCTACAACTATGCAAATCAAAATCTCCGCCCCAGAGTCTCGTCAAGGCAAGACTTCGTTTCTAAAGACGCTAGGTCGGCGCGGGCAGTTCCGGGCGGAGCACGTAAGGGAATTCCCGAGCGAGTTAGCGTCTAATGTGTTAAGAAAGAAACTATAACACTATATAAAGAGGTAGACAAAAGCTCACCCTGTGAGTGTTCTTCAGCTTGGGTGGAGGCATGTCTCGAATCCGTCGCATGGCCTGCAAGGGTGGCTCATTGAAGAAGGGTGGCTCTCCATCAATCATTTCTATCACCATAATGCCCAGGGACCAGATGTCCACCTGTTGGAATAAAAGAAGAAAAATATATCACGCTTCTTGGTTATAAAAATCTAGAAATGAAATACGTTCTTTAAAAAAGAAACCCAACAAAAAAACCCAACAAGGTCATTACAAAACATTTACAAATTTTTGTTTCCTACATGAGCATAAAAAGGCAGCTTAAGACAATCGTCATATATATATATGTACATATCAAAGTAAAAAAACAACCGAAAAACAAAATAAAGATATTATCACACCTAAAGCAACCACCTGAAGACAGATAGATGACTCAAAGCATCAAAAGATCATTCATTAGCAAAACGCAAACAAGACACATGACAAGTACCCTTTTTAATCATTTCAAAACATTACATAGCACTTTTCCACAACAGACCATCAACTTGAAAATAAAACTTTTCTTGTAAGCACAAAACAGAGCCACGACACGACCACCTTCCAAACAAAACACCCATGTTTGTGCTGACCTATGCACAACCCCCCCCCCCAAAAAAAAACAACAACAAACAAACAACAACCCCCAAAAGCACCAAAAAACAAACAAACCACACTTAAAAAAACAACAACCCCATCAAAAGCAAAACAAAGACACAAGCAATAAGGCACAGAAGGGGGTGGGGGGTGGGGGAGGGGTTGTCTAATGAAAAACAAGGCAACATTTTCTGGGAATAGCCCCTAGAATTTCTTAAGTTGCTATACAAAAGTCAAGCCAAGCATTTTCTCACCTCTGGTCCATAGGGCAACCTGGAGATGACCTCAGGGGCCATCCAGTACGGGGTTCCCACCAATGACTTACGCTTGGGCAGGTCAGGAGTCACTTGGGCACAGAAACCAAAGTCTGACAGCTTCACCTACAAATACAAATAGACAGGCAAACATACTGTCAGCAGTCCGATTTGCTTTATTAAACAAATTTTGATTGTTGGTGTTTTTTGTTTCTTTTTTGGGGGGTCAATTTTAAAAAATGGGCTTTTGTGAAACAGAAAATTTATTATCTCTTGGGGGGTTCAATTTAAAAATGACTTTTATGAAACAAAACATATATCATCTCTGAACAGGGAAGTTAAAACTCTAGAAAAATGCAGGCTGTCACATCAAAGACACAGTATCATGCACTTGAACAGGAGCAACAAAAATATAACTTTTTAGATTTCATATAAAAGAACCCCCCCCCCCCCTAAAATTCTAAGAACACCCATCCAAACTTGAGGCTTTCATTCCTCAACGTCCCCAGCTCAAAACATATAATTACTCCATTGTGTAGGCAGTGACTGACCTTGCCGTCGTGAGAGAGGAGGATGGAGTCAGACTTGATGTCTCTGTGTATGACGCCGTGTGAGTGGAGGAAAGCCAGAGCCTTGAGGCACGCCTTACACACCGTGGCTATCTGAACCTCATCCATTCTGGGGAGACGTGATAAGGTGGATGTGTAAATAATATACAAAGACCACGTGGAACCTGGAGACGAGTCACAGAAATTGATGAGCAGAAAAGTGGGAAGACAGAATAACATCTACAGGCTAGTCCAGGATAGGGAAAGGTGAAATTTTTTTTTCCGTGGCCTTTATCTTGACCCAAGGTGAGAAAGGCAATGATGATGACGATGATGTAAATATACAGACTTGTCAGAACTTTGTTTTAGTTTTAGTAAGAATTTTACTAGCCCTTGCAACACAATAAGGTCACAAAAATGCCAAATACTAGAGGTATCCCAAGAGAAAAACAAACATAAAAAAGGAGGAGGAGAGACAACGATGACAGATGTTTTACTGTCCTTTCGGCCGATAGGTACTGACAAACTGACTGGAAAATTTATTTTTTTAAGTTTTAGTATTAGTATTAGTATAGGGTTTTACGGCGCTCGCAACTGCTAAGGTCATATGAGCGCGCGAAAAAAGAATGATGACTGATAGTGTAAACAAACACGTATGTGGACGTCCCCCAACCTGCTGTGTGTGACAATGTCCGTGAGGGCGCCACCCTCCATGAACTCCATGACCACCCACAGCTCGTCGTTCACCAGGTAACTGTTGTACATCTCCACGATGTTTGGGTGGTGGTAGTCGCGCATCACCACCACCTGAAACACAACACGACAGGATTCTTAGTGGACATGATTCAAAAAAAAAGTGGAAGAAAATATATTTTATTTTAATAAGTAGAGGGTTTTACAGCGCTCGCAACTGCATAAGGTCACATGAGCGCCAAGGGGTGGGTGTCAACAGAGAAGTCCTTACAGGGAATTGGACTTACTCTGCTCACCTCTCTAGCTTCAACAGCACAAGGTCTGCTTCGACTAGCGAGGCACCCCGGAAATAGCAGGTTACAAGAGTGTGACAAACATACAAAGGAAGTTGAGGACAATGACAATAGTAAGGATTAGGAAAGAAAAAGCAGGAGTTCCCTGTTGCAGATCAGGCACAGTTATGAGCGTGACATGATGAATCAGCCCATTTACAATTCGACTGTGCTTGAACGAGAAATGCCCCCCTTTTGGGAACGGCCTAAAGACACTACAGTCAGTGGCACTGCCCCAGGGGGTGAGAAAATATTAGTCCACGAAAAAAAACCCAACAACATTATACAATTTTGATTTTTTTTTAAAGATGGAAAAAAAAGGGGAGAAAATATTAGTCTACAAAAATAAAGAACATTATACTATTTTGATTTTAAAAAACCAGGATGGGGTATTTGTGCATGTACACATACAAATTGTAACACATCTCCCCCCTCCCCTGAAAGAATAATAAATTAAAAAAAAAAAAAAAAAAATACTTAACCCATTAATGTTTAAAACAAATTAAATTCAAATCATATGAATTATTTGGCAACAATGACATGCGGAACTGACCATCAGGAACAAAGCTTAGTTTAAGTAAGAGTTTTACGGCACTTGCAACACAATCGGGTCATATAAGTGCCACAGAAAAACAAAATAGAAGTGCTAAAAGGGAGTAACAAACAAAAAAAAAAAAAAAAAGGAGAAATAAGGTCAATAGATGTTTGATAGAAAAGAAGGAGCAAACCACACCTGAGTGCCCACCAACCACCCGCTATGAACAAAGTGTGTTTTTTAAAAATGTCACAAAATAGTTGTAACACCTCTACCACAGGCATCTGGTCAACATAAGTATGATGTGTAAATATAGACTATATATATATATATATATTGAAACTGTAATTTAGTAAAAAATTACGGGACTTGCAACACAAGTCAATCATATACGTACCGAAGATTAGGTGCTACTAAACCATAACTAGAATCTAAACGCACAAACACAAATCAGACATTACATAACACCAATATTCTCTGGATATAACAGAAACATTCAGTCACCTCATTGAACAAGAGTTCTCTCCTCTGTTGCCTCCTCAGATCCATCTTTTTCACGGCCACCAGCTTGCCCCGTGATTGGTCCATGGCAGTACACACGATGCCCGTGGAGCCCTCGCCGATCTTCATGAAGTTCTCCAGGAAGTACCTGGGGTCGCCAGGGTTCACCACATACTGCAGCGTGCGTCGGAACTGGTGGTCGCAAGCGTGTCATGCACAGCGATGTCAGGGGAACAAGGTGAAAAAAAGAAAAAAAAAAGAAACAATTTTATTGTTAGTTATGGAACGATCTAAAACAATATGCAAATATTTTTTTTATGGTATGCATGTATACTCTGCATGCTAGAATCATTCATCTGTGCAAATTCAAATCGCTTGCAGCAGGGATGCCATTTATGCAGACATAAACTGAACTTCTGGGTACATGCAGAAACAGTAAAACAAAATACTATAAACAAAATGCACGGCATACAGATAGATAAAACTTTAAGATCAAATCACTGGCTCAAAATGCTTTAAGAATTATGTAATGAATGTGACAGTGATCATTCACATATTCCTGAGGTCAGGATGATGCATTAGGCAATAATATATATATGACTTAAGCCCAACATGCCATTGCTACATATTGTTTTGTTATTTTAAGCAATCACTTCACCAACATTTCACACTGACTTTCAAAAGCCCTCCATTGCTTTTTCCATAGCAACAACTAATATATATGGCAAACCTTTCAAAGACTTGAAACCAAAATCATCTGTCTTGTCACTAAACAAAACACATTTCACAAGAAATCTTTGGAGTATTGTGAGAACAAAATTATCTTTCAAGACCATTTTACTTTTTTTCTGACTTAGTCTAGAAGCAATCCTTCAGCAATGATTTTCCCTGATCTTGTCATTATAATAAATAAAAAATAACCTAGCAGTTTCAAGTGTCAACCAATTCACTTGCTTTTAAAATCAACATCGCTCTCTATACGTTTCCACAACATTTTGCACAAACTATTGAAGTGAAAACAAAGATTTCTACTGGGTTCATAGATGAAAGTGAAACAAACAGATAAACATAGAATTACGGCCCCAGCACTGAAACATCAGTACAGAGTAGTGCTAAAAAGGCAGGTGCAAACTGTGTGTTGTCAGGCATTGAACACGACACTTAGCTGTGCATGTCATTTACTTCATAGAGATAATTTTCGATCATTTTAGAGGAAAATTAGATCACAATTTTCACAAATACAGAAACACACCTCGAGTAAGGGTTTAAATGGCCACAAGCACACCTAAAAAAATTGTTTTGAACAAGGGGTAGTGGTAGTAAGTAGCCTTTCAAATCCCAACAGCTTGAAACAAAAGGTAGATACAGGGTCCGGGAAAAAGATGGTATTTTCATAGCAAGCTTAAATTTTTTTCCTCTAGAAAATAGTTCTGTTTCATCTTTGAATTCTTTTTGCTCAAAAAGATGAATGGAAAGACAAGAGACATATCCCAAAGACAGGCTTCTCTTAGGCAGGCCTTCTTGGCCATGTGTTATTCTGGTCAGTCGGGTCGTACAGTACAGACTTCCTTTACTTCCAACTGGTTGAATAGTCAGCAAATGCAGGAGGAGGGGGGGGGGGGGGGGATAAAGATGATGCTGGTACCACATCCAAAATCAGACAAGTGGTTCAAAAGTTACAGAAATCGGAATGGTTTCAGTCCTGATTACCCCCCCCCCCCCCCCCCCCCCGGCAGTGCCACTGCCTGTAGTGTCTTTAGGCCATTCCCAAAGGGGGGAGGGACACTTCTCGTTCAAGCATAGTAGAATTGTAAATGGGCTGACTCATGTCACGCTCATAACTGTGCCTGATCTACAACAGGGAACTGCTGCCTTTTCTTTCCTGATCCTTACTATTGTCATTTTCCTCTACTTCTTTTGTATGTTTGTCACTCTCTTGTGGCCTGCTATTTCCGGGGTGCCTTGATAGTCGAAGCAGACTTTGTGCTGTTGAAGCTAGAGAGGTGAGCAGTCTAAGTCTGATTCCCTGTAAAGACTTCTCTGTTGACACCCACCCCTTGGCGCTCATATGACCTTATGTCGCTGCGAGCGCCGTTAAACCCTCTACTATAAAAAAAAAAAAAGTCCTGATTTCAAGCACAAAATGGTTATGACTTTTCTCTCATACGATTTTATGAATATACTTTTTTTTTATCATTTCAGCTTTGCTCCAATGTACTGTTTTGCCTTTGTTTGGTACAATTTGTGCATAGTTGTGTTCCTATAATTTTCCAACCATTCACATCACGTTCATAGTTCACATGCTTTCACCTACCTCAAAATTGAAACGCTTTATTGCATCGACAAAATAGTTGATGAAAGATTTTTATGCTGATCCAAGGGATGCCAAACTGCATCATCCAAATCATACATGAGCCTCTAAAACCCTGGATGCCTCTTGCGGAAATAAATCAGTCATCCTCTTTTCTGCATTTCAATTTGTGCAAAATCAGACTATTTTTCAGCTCTAGTATTTACTTACTGGCATCTTCAAATTGACTGGGAAATTTGATTTAATCAAAACATTTTTGCAAGCTTAGCCATGGTTTCATGCTCTATTGGTAAAAATGAAAAAAGAGAAAAAACTGTATTTTGCCATGACATGAAAATGTGGGCAGCAACAACAAACTGGACTCTGCCATGAAAGAAGCAACCAACATGACCATATTTCAGAACATCATCCACAGTGGAATGGTGAGAAACCAGAAAGAAATATTATATCGGTTGAGAATCTGAAGAATCATGGGATGTCATGTGAACTAGAGAGAGAAAAAGATCCTTGATAGAGGCAGAATACTTTTCCCTGAGCTTTGAAATCAATAATGGCAACCCCAGTAAGAAATATTCTTTAAGTTATCTGCCAGACAGACCCATCAAATGGGTCCAAACGTGTAGTAACTCTCCCAATTTATTTTCTTAAAACATCTGAAATCCAGTACCTTTTCTCAAAATGTTCTTCTTTTCCTCCCCTCCCATCTAAAAAATAAGATGCTAAGGGAATGCAAAACTAAAGTTATAATAATGAAAGGGGAGATCATTGTTCAAACAAGTCAGTCCCACCACATCACATAAAAGTGAACACCAACAGAGTCTACTGAAAGTGACAGTCAGGCTGAACAAAATGCTTGAATGACTCAACATGTGAGTGCAATCTCTTACCATACCAATCCACAAAACATTGACTGCATGACATGCACATGCCCGGGTTTTTGGAAAGGTATAAAACAAGAGGAGAATCCAGCGACTGGACAAAACTGAAATCTGGACTTGTAGGAACCGGAGAACATAGAATATTGCCATTTTCCCAAATAATATACTTCACTCTAGATCTGCGGAGAAAAACCTAGTACGTGTTGGAAGCTGGTAAATTGTCAAATTGAAGCCGCAGCTTGTTACAACATGAGCTGTATTGGTCGTACAGGTTTATTTATAATATGAAATACGCTGAGTATAAGTAGCACGCGGGTTGTTAAAAGTTCAAACCTCTTCATGCGACAAACGCTGCTGCTCTGGGCCCTGCCCCTGCGGTGGCTGTGTTCTGTTAGGGGACCTGGGGGACGGGGAAGGCTGTTGGGGGTAGGGGCCTCCACGGCTCGGGGAGTGGGGAGGACTAGACATGGGGCTCTGTCGAGGGCTGGGCTGAGGCGGTTGCTGGTGGTGAGGATGGTGAGGAGGATAGCCCTGGGCCCCCGGTCCCCCTTGGTGCTGGCCGTGAGGGGCTTCTCCTCGAGACTGCAACCACCAGGATTTCAACGATGAAGAAGTCGGTGGGTGAAGAAAGGGAGACAAAGCAAGGTGCACATGAAGGACGTACAAAGAGGCATATATATGTACTATAAAAACTCATGCCAGACTAATAAAATTATATTTAATACAACTCTAATCCTTTGATATTTTAGATGGTACCAAAAGGCAATTTATTTTGCTCTGACTTTTGCTGTGAAAATCAATGTCAAGCTGTCTTTGTACTGTAAACAATCTATTAAGTCTACTGTGAAGTAAGACTTAAATCAGAGAAAAATCAATTGGGCAAACAACTTTGCGCAAGACAAAACAATTTCCACAATTCAGAAGTTGACCAAACATTAAGCTGCCCACTCTACATTTTTCTCAGAAAAATATTCAAGGTGAAAATTTTTTTTCAAAGAAGAATTAAAATCACAATTTGAAGCAGAATTTTGCTTTTAAAGCAGCAATAGAAAAAGTCTGGCAAAAGTTTAATACATGTTTACAACATGCAAACTTGAGTAGTGTATGGTATGCAGTAGATATCAATTCCTGAAATACAGAGTTACAACCAATAACATGTGTACAAGCACAAACTTTTAACTTCAACAAACATCATTGGAAGTGTTTTCTAAAAGACAATCTACTACATGATACAAAATGAAATCACACAATGACATTACAAGTTCTCTTAGAATCATTATAATTTTCACTGCCAACATGCACGATCAACAGCAATGAGATACTACAGAGCTAGACCAAGAACAGGGAGTAGAAAAGCACAACGTGCACGAGACAGCAGAGATATACTATAGAGCCTAATAGAAACAAAATGCAATGCTCATAACATGATAGTCGAAACCATGCTCCACTTATCTGGGGAAATTTTTAACAAAAGACCTTTAAAAAGGTGACAAAATATGATCAACAAACAAAATGAACTCCTGCATAATCCCAGTGACAATGACAATCTCCTCTATCAGAAAACATGAAAGAAAAGAGCAGTGAAAAGAGAGACATCCCCCCATCCAGGAAAAAAAAAAAGTCAGGCAAAGAGAATGTCTTAGGAGAGCTTGAAAAATGTTAAAGTATTATTGCTTGATTTTGTATACAAGGGTAAAATTAATGCTCCTTTGAACTTAGTACAAAGACAAAATTATATGTTAAGCGACAAAAATGGCACAAGCCAAACTACCTCTGCAACCACAAAATACCTTCTGAACACCCATAAAACAAAACCCCCATCATCTCTGATTAAGTCTGTCTGTATTACAAAAGATGTCTAGGTTCAAAAAGTAATTAGAACCTACTAGGCGAAAACTTACAAGGAAGGAAAAATAGCCAGATGCAAACAAAGAAATGTAACATAACTTTAAAATTTCAGCCTGTCATTATGAAACTAGGAAAGTCACCATTTAATATTTCAAAAATAAAATAATACTGAAAGTGATATATATATATATATTTTGTGTGTTTGCCTTTTGTTCCACAAAGCTTTGCAGCTGTCCCCGCTCCATTCCTGAGCAACATTATTTAAATCACAATAGCTCACGGCAAAAGAAAAAAAACACCTATTCCGATAATTTCAGTGACATAGCTCCCCCCCCTCCCTCTCCCTATAAACAAAACAAAATTCAGCCTGAACACATAAACACATACAAGCAGTAATACAACCCAACCCC